TCTACAGGTTTCTGAACCACTGTCTTTTGTGATGTGATTGGATCCAGAGAGGGCTTGTTAAGGGAATCTCTATGCAGTTGTATCACTGGTATCCATGCTAAGATTTAGCAATAGGCTTTTTGTCCCTGTTGTATGGCATGTCACCATGCTTCCTAACGTATCTCAGCTTGCAAATTGACTTTGGGGAGGGGTAGAAGTCATGCTAAGTTGAACATTTGGGGAAGGGCAGACTTGGTGCCTTTTGGAGCGTTTGGGCTGAATGGACTTTGCTTTTGGCTGCTGTCAAAGGCAGCTCCTCTTAAGTAAACTTCTGAAAAACACAACTGCATGTTGGTAAACAGCATTTCCATAAAGCAGCTAGAGGCTTTCAGCCACACGAGGGTTTCCGTAGCTGGCTCAGGGGTAAGAGTTTTTTATTCTCCCTCCCCTATGCAGTAAGAGCTTTCGGGCACAACAGAACAGAGCTGCAGCTGAACAAGTGACCCTAGTGAAGAATTGGTGCTGTTGCTAGTCCTACAAATTATTTCATGTCAGCACGTTTCCCACAGAATCCACTTCTAAGGAAACTGGATTCACTGGGAAGACAACAGAGCTGTAATCCATACAGCCTGTCTTGATGCTTCTTAATATAGCACCAACACGAGCCAGCTGGTTTCCAGTTCTCTGACCTCCTAAGAGGACTGCATTTGATTCCAGAAACCAAATCTGGAACTAATGCCACATACAACTTCACTGACACCTAGCCTCGAAACTGGCAGCATTACAAAGGCCTCTGCAGGACGGGTATTTCTCACATCACTCAACACCTCTTTAGTAGACACAGGAGTCATGCCTTTGAGCTCTGTGAAAACTCATGCTGGGTTTCTTCCTGGCTCTCTGAATTCTCTTGGATAAAACAGTTGCACTTGAGCCTGGAGCATGTGATGAAATGTAGGAGAAGGGCAGAGCTACCCTGGGACTTGACAAGGATACAAGAAGTCCTTGGAGACTTTCAAGAGAATGAAATATCTCTTGAAGGGGTTCGAGTGACTTCTGTGTTTCCCTGCCAGTTTTTCCACATAAATGGACCGCTGTTCAATTCAGGCTCTATTCAGAAAAGAGCAGCATGAAATGAAACAGCAATCTTGGCTTATTCCACATGCTGCTTTCGCAGGAATTCTGCTGAGGGTTAGAAACAAGCTCTTTGGTAAAAGTACCTGTTCGAATTTCCACCCATCAGACATAGTGGACACCATCTGTGTGAGCTCTTCCTCTTGGCACTGCAGGACTCTGTACACGTGCTTCACGGGTCCCTACAGCAAGCGGAAGAGAAACAACCAGGAATTTAATCATGTTTTTTGGTATTAGTATCAAAATAGGAAAATAATTAGCCTCTCATGGGCTGTTCTGTTCTATTTTCTTACTGTTTGAGAAACCTGAATGCTGCAGAATTTGAGGTTTCATTCCTTCCAAGCATCCAACTGATTCTAAAACAGGTATCTAAGTTGGGTACACATCTCTCAAAAGCTTCTAGAAACTTAAGTGCCACTGAAACCAAAACTCTTTTGGCTTTCAAAGCTATTTACTGTTTCTGTTTGTTTTTAAATGTTTCTCTTCTGAAATCCCAACTACTGTGCTTTTCTTAATAGCTGCTTAGCAGCAATGAGGAAAAATTGCACAGATTAAAGTGAAGAAAACTGTGTGCAGAAGGAAGAATTACATCTAATCATGATAGGAAAACTGAACATTAGGTGCTGCAAATTGCAGCTATTTCTTTACTATAGGCCTGGCTCTAGGGAGCCAAGGATATGGGACCTGTCATACCAAGGCAGATCTTACACATGGATGTCCCCAATGCTCCAGCACCTGCTCACTTCCCTGTCAACCACAAAGCAAATAAAAAGCCCCATGAGGAAATTCCTCTGAGCAGGAGTGACCCACCCATGATATCTCACCTCAGCCCCATAGAGCTGTTGCTCTGTACCTCTCAAAGCAGCATGTTTCATGTTTTTCCTTTAAATTACCCATTTTTGTTCCCTGGGCCCTGTCACTTAGCTATTCATTGCTGTTTCCTGCAACACAGGAAAGTTGGCTCAATGGCCTGTGCTTATAAAGCCAGTGGATATTCTTTCATAGCTGTGCCTTGGATCCACTTAAAATACCGATTCCCATTTTTAAAAACTAAACTGAAGAGCTGCTACTGAAAGTGAGTGCCTCCTACAGCATCCTTGTCCTTCCACTACCCTGCTGGGAATGAACAAGTTCATAGCTCAATTTATGTGCATTACTTGAGAGGTTCTGTTCTCATTATCCCGTATCCGTTCCTTCACCAGTCGCACAAGAGAGGCGATATTGTAAAACTCAGCTTCTTCCAGTACCCCTAAGGAAGGAACCAAAAACAGAGACAGGGTAGAATGAAGATTTTGCTACAGGGATTCACCTGCTCCTGACACTAAGTCTAGCCCAGATGTGGGACAGTCCCTAGATGCCGAATGAGCCGTGTCACTGATCTCATTCCTCTGGGCTTAGAGAAAGGGATCTGCATCCAACCTGTCACTTCCTTTTGTGACAGGGGGTGTCCATGGGGGTATCCAGAACTTTGTGGTACAACCTCTACATTGTTCCACATTGTACATTGGGAAAGTCACCAAAGCCTTTTGCTATGGAGGACCACAGTCTGGCAAGGGGGGAGGAGATTATTCTAGCAGTTTTTGCTGCAGTTTGAACAAGAGTGTTGGCTTGTGTTGCAAGCTGGAGGCCTTGTCTTCCAGGACGGTGCAGAACCGAATGATTTAGTCCCCGTTAATGAGCAACTTTCTGGGAATCTACCATTAAGCAGCGCCGCTCGCAACGCAGCTCCCCCACGCAGCTGCCTCAGCAGGACCCCGCGTGCTCGGAGGAGTTTGATAACACCCCCCACTCGCCTCTCTCCAACAGCACCTGCAGCTCCTCCACTGCATTGGTTTTCCTTACCTTCTTCTGCAAGCTCCTTGTTTATGATAAGTTTCCCATGTCGGAGGTAGTTCAGTATTGGACCAAAATATGTGGGATCTCTATCGATGAGATAAGCTCCTGTCTCATCCTGGTTAGACAGAACCGGGGTGGCGAAAAAGAAAAAAAAAAGTCGAAAATGATAAGTTTCTGTGTCAGAACCTGAACTACTTTTGCCTGTAAAGGGGGAAAAAAGAGGGAAAAGGCGGAGGAGGTATGGTGATACTTAAAACAACCTTTCTGGAGAAACGAGGTAGCTGTATTTAGGCAAAAGCAGTTCCTCGCTACAGCAGTATAATACAAAAAACAGCAATCTTGTCCCAGGTAGATTTGTTTTCCAAACCTGTTTAATTAGAAGGAGACTCTGAGAAAATAGAGAAAAACTTAAAATCTTATCATAAAAAATAGAAATGTTTCCATCTCCTTAGGATGGCAGTTGGATTTCCAGTCCAGCCAAACAGTGCTGACAGTTAAATCACCTCTTTATTTTTCTACTACTGAAAATGCACATTGCAACACGCTGCCCACCTGCCTGAAGCATCTCCGACAGGCCTGAGTACAACAACGACAGTCACCAAATTATCAACAACTCGTAATGAAAATCATCCCTTGAATCAGCTTTGAGTGCTGACATGCACTGTAGGGAAGGCTTTCACACCACGTCCTTATTTTTGAAGCAAGATATGTCCTGCCAGAGCAATATGTTTGTAGCAATCCAGCAGGGACTTCTGGAATGTCATCTCCATTCGCTAGGTGATGTGGGGAGTGTTGTTACTTGGATCGCTAGCAGGATTGAACTTCTGATTAAGCTCTTAGCTGGGTGGGAAGAGCCTTGCACAATTCTCAGTTGTTTACAAGTCTGTCTACAAGTGATTTGCAAAACCTCATACAGCGGCTTCCACAGAAAACCCCAGTTACAAGAATGAACAGAAGGGTTGGAAAATCCTGATGATAAGTTAGAGCAACTCCAAAACTATCCCCCAAAGTAAAGAACATGCACCACTGCCTTTCATGAGAGAATTAATGGGGATATAAAGGAAGCACAAGGGTGAGCTGTCACTCAGCTGGACGGGACAGCCACAATTCCTGTTTCCAGGAGACTTTCTCTCTCGCTGTGCTACCTGCAGTCCCTGTGGGAAGGTGCTGGTTTGCTGGGAGAGGGAAGTCTCGCCAGAGAGGGAGGCGGAGGATGAACCTGCTGCCTGCAGCACGGGGCAGCTACAGCCTCAGTGGGAGGATCCGGACACGACGGGGCCGCGGCCACGCGAGGGACGGGCGGATGCGGCAGCGCGACCTGGGTCTGTCCCGGGACAGCGGCCCCGGGCTGTCCGCGCTGGGGACAGCGGCAAGGGGAGGTGCTGGCGGCAACGCTAAGGGGTGCCCCGGGCCCCTTGGCCGAGCGCAACACGGCCGGGGGGGCCGCGGGGGCCCCGGCCCCG